GCGAACAATTTACCTCGTAAGAATCTTGCGGGGTCCTTCGACTCTACGCTCGTTCGATGACGCCGATGTCTCTCCGGCGTCTTATTGTTTGCCGCGCGCAGTCTATCGCGAGAGCGAGAGAGAGAGAGAGAGAGAGAGACAGAGAGAAAGAGAGAGAGAGAGAGAGAGAAAGGGAGGGGGGGGAGAGAAAAAACGATGAGGTAATTCGTAAGTTGCGAACCGTTTGCCGGAAGCCGCGGCCAACCGTAAAATACGCAGTACCATCGGTCTCGATAGCCGTTTTATCGCGTGATGCATGCGACACGAATTTATCTTCTTTCCTGCTTCTTCGCTTCCTCCGCCGCCGCGCGTTATCTAATCCCATACGCGACGGAAAACTCGTGCAATCTGCGATGCGATTGCGATGGAGATCCTTTATCCCTCTCCCCGGGGGGACCTGTCGTCGGATGTTGCCTCGATTGAGAAAGAGATCTCGAGAGGAAGCTCGACGCAGCTCGGAGCAGTCAGAAGCAAAAGTCTCTCGACTGATCGCCGATGCGATCACGAGCGTACGCACGCATGCGTGCCTCGTTCGTTCCGATTCGCGTCGGTGCATCTATTGCTATTTTCAACGGCTTTGCGATTAGCAATTTAATGAGACCGGCCGAGGCGGTAGATCGCGTGCGTCGCATCGAAAACATTTAAAAATAAAGCGCGGCGGGTCGGGTCCCGCGGGACAGCCGAGTCCCGGCGCTACGAATCCGCGGTCGCGCTCCACGTCGGCAGGCTGAATCTCGGCGAGCGAGTCTCGCATATACACGCGAGTAATAATGATAATAATAATAATAATAATAAGTGCTTATTCGCAAAAGCATAGTGGCGAGACGACACGACGGCACGGGACGGGACGGAGCGCGAAGCGACGCGACGTGACGCGACGCACGCGGGCGACATAACGCACACGCGTGCAAGTTATTTACGGTATTATTTACATATATAGAAACCGACCACGGGCCTATCATCGATAGTCGATATCAACTCCAATTCCGTCGTCTCCGCGACGCTACACGACTCGTAGGCATGCCGCAGCATGTGTACACGTGACGCATCATCCGCGCGCTCGCGGAATAAAGGACGGCGATCGCTCGCGCCCGCCGACAATTGTATCCATTGACGTCGGCGTTTATTATTTTTCCTTATTTTTTTCAACAATGTTTTCTCTCTCTCTCTCTCTCTCTCTCTCTCTCTCTCTCCCTCCCTCTCTCCTCGTCCTACAGTTGCGAGCGGTCAAAACGCGGCGATAAGCGGATACATGAATGGTAATACGAGCGAGAGCGAGAGAGAGAGAGAGAGCGGGAAAAAGAGAGAGAGAGAGAGAAAGAGAGAGCCCCGGACTCTCGCTAGCGGTATCTTCGGCTCGAAATTCGTGCGTCAGCGCTGGGCCGCGCGCGTGCGAGTGCGTCTCCGGGGAAGAGTCGCGCGAAAGCGCTAACGAGTCGCCACACGGCCGAGTAAACAGGCCGCTTGTTAAACGTGGAAATTTTCGAGCGCGATTTCGCGTCCGCGGGTTCGATGGACGGGACTCCAACGTCCAGCCGGCGCCGATATGCTCGGAAGCGGCCGGCCGTTCGATCGATCGATCGACCAACCGACCGACCGACCGACCGGCCGGCCGGCCGGCTGAACTCGCCGTCGTTATCGCTATAGAAAAATGTCCGGACGAGTGTTTTAAAGCAGGAGGAAAAAAAATTTATAACGGAGTATAAAAGAGTAGAGAGAGAGAGAGAGGGGGGGAGAAAGAGGGGGGGGAGAGAGAGAGAGAGAGAGAGAGAGAGGGAGGGAGGGAAGAACGAAGAACAGAGGAAGAGAGTCGAAAAGGAGCCTTGTCTCGCACTCGCCGCTCTCTCGCTCGCGGTCGGTCCCACGCGCGTACGCGTGTACGGGGCGGCGGCGGCATATAGCAGCGGTATGCGTGGCCGCGGAGCGAGCGCGCGGAGGTCACCATTGACGCAAATCTATCCGAGTGTCACGTGAGCGCGCCCGCTGGAACACAATATACACGCGATGGACGGCACGGCCGCCGCTCCACCATTCCATTAAATCTATGCCTCCGTATGTGTTTACGGCTAGCGATGGCATCGAGCCGCACAATTCTCGTCGCTCTCTCGCGACGCGGCCGCGACGAGCCTTGAGAGCTGGCGGCTACACCGACAGGAAAACAGGTTTCGCCCCGAAGATACACCAACGAAAAGGAGAAAGAGAGAGAGAGAGAGAGCGAGCGAGAGAAAGAGAAAGAGAGAGACGAACGGGAACGAGGCTGAATGAGAGCCACGGAGAGAGAGAGAGAGAGAGAGAGAGAGAGAGAGAGAGAAATTCTTCTGCAGACACGTTCCGGGATCAAACAGGATTCGCGCCTCGCGGGCGGAGAGGCAATCGAGGAAAATCGAGCGGCCGAGTGTCGTTCCCATCGCTATTCGAGGACGCTCGGGCAGAAAGAGGGAGGCCCGTTGCGCGGAAGGTAGGAGAGCTGGATATGCACTCCGCGGCCCACCCACGTTACGATATAATGGGCAATTAATGGCCGGTGGACCGGCCGATCCGCTGAATGCCAATCGGACACGGGAAGCGCCACGCTGGCCACGACGTAGCCTGTTGTTTAACCCTTGGCGTTCTCTCTGCCTGCCTGCCTGCCTGCCTGCTCGATCGTGTTCTCCATATGGCGGCGCGAATCGCGAGAGGCCCCGGCTATAATTAGAACACCACGTTCCCTCTTCCTCTCTTTTTCTCCGACGCAACGAGCCAGGCGTGTTGAGCCTTTTGAATCGATTCGCAACTTTCAACGCGCCTCCCGAGGGAGAGCCTCTCGAGGCACGCCGCCACCGCCGCGCGGCGCGCCGCCACGCGGTTTTCAAACGCCCGGTATTTTTCGCGGCAGCGGACCGACAGGTCCGCGGAGAGAACGAACTTCATGCATATACATAGCGCACGCACGGTACGTCAGCAAGGACCTTGCGCTAACCTAGTTCCAGTATCCAGCTCCTGCGAGATGTACAAGTCGAGCGTGGCGCACGCTCTCACGACTCGATGGAGTAGAGTATCCTTTACTTCTTATCATCTTTTAATTAGGTCAATGTCGCCGTGCGCGATCGCGCGACGATTCGTTGCTTTCTTTAACCAGCCACGCGCGAGCAGTGCGTACCTGCTGACCTAAAAGTCGACCGACCGACCGACCGAACGAACGAATGAACGAACGGACGGACGGACGGACGGACGAATCAACGGGAGGACGAACGGACGATCGAACTCATCGACGAGCAGGGTGGCTCGGCTCTCAGGAGCATTCACTGTCACCGCGCGTATCCTACGAGTACACATCCGCGTTCTCAATGTAACTCGACGATGCGTGCCGCTCGAGCGACGCTAAATGTGGCTCTCTTATCTCACTCGGCCCGCTCATCGCGCCGTGTTTGATCTTCCGCGTCTCTCCCTCTCTTTCTCTCTCGCTTGCTTTCTCTCGTCGTCGTCGTCGTCGTCGTTAGCAGTGAGATTTCGCGTCGCGCGCGCGCGCACGCGATTGTTAGCTAATTTAATGCCGACTCACCGACGCTTCGCTTGGGATACCTTCTGTCCGAAAGATCGCCGCCGCTCTTTTCATCCGCGCCGTTCGGCCCGCGAGATTCGTTTCGTCGCGAGCGGACCTCTCTACCGTGGCCGCCAGCCGCTTTCCAGCCACCGACGAATGTTCGCGAGGAAAGGAAAAATAAAGAAACTGAGCGGCTGCTCGCGCCCGGCACGGTGCGACAATGCCGTCGGCGGTAACGGCGGATGATGGCACGATGGTGTTGCAATGCCGCGGCATTATGCAACGGCCGACGCTATCGTGCACAACAGTATCGCCGACGACGCTTCGCCGTGGTATTTAAGCTCGACTGAAAGCAAACGCGAAGCGAAACCGCGCGCTCGCGCTCGCGCTCGTCGCGAGCGGACATTTCCCGGAATGTTTCCCTTTCGCAAGCTTGGGAAATAATAACGAGTTACCTGGAAAGTCGTTTGGTATCGTTATCGTTACAATTACAAAAATATCCTCGCCTTCTTTTCCGATTTGTTGACGACGTTGTGCTTTTGTCCTCATTGGCGACCGTAACGTAATTGCATTTGTTCGCGCAACGCTAACGAACATAATCGTTACGTTTATCAGGTGCTACGCGCAACGGGCAGATTGTAGAAGCGGCCGTTTCGGCGGAACGGAAATGCCGCGTGCCGAGAATTCGTCGGTTCGTAGAGGCGCGTTTTCCAGGTATGCGGCTACTTTCGAAATTTCTGCGTCACGCGACGATGCCTTTCGTTCGTTTTGAGTTACGATAACGATATTGTTTACGCTAACGCGTATATTCGGACACGGACTACAACAATATTTCCATCGTTCAAGGACGAAAAAATGATAACAGCTTGCACGCACGTCACGCGTGTTTTCGCCTACGCATTGGATATACATTTGCGGATGCGGCAGGATGCGGATCCAGGAGAAAAGAAAAAAGGAGAAGAGAGAGAAGCCTCCGACACTCGGCGAAAAAATACACCGACTCGTTATTCCCCGAGTGACGGGAACGACAACGAGTCACTCTTTTTCTTCAATGAGCAACGGCTGACGCGTTACTTTCCAAGAGTGACTCTCCCCGGCGTGCTCCTTCGGCAAGAATAAATTTTGCGAGGAACGCGGGAGATTGTCCTCTCCTGATGAGACTAACCAGCGATACGATCCGCAGGCAGGTCTCTGCGGAATGTTACACGATTCGCAGCAGGAGTGTTACTCGCGCGCGCTTCGCTCATCGCAGAAATTAAGTCGCATTATCTTCAATCGTCGAGCGCCTGCAAATGAAATCCGAGGAGCGCGCGCGCGCACGCGTGTATGGCGAGGGAGGTCCATTATTCTATTTAGTCGTGCTTGCGAACAATTGTCGTACGAAAATATATTCAACATTTCCCTCTCTCTCTCTCTCTCTCTCTCTCTCTCTCTCTCTCTCTCTCTCTCTCTCTCTCTCTCTCTCTCTCTCTGTAATATATTAATGCGTGATACGAAATATTACATCGCACTGACTCGTGTTACATACATACATACAGGCATACATACACACATACACACGTACGTACATATATACGCACTACAAATTCGACGTCGATCGAAAATAATTATGTACAACATTCGCGGGCTCGTCGGCTATCTCGACGAAGAGATTGCGTTGAGCGAGAGCAACGGTTGCGCAACCGTCGAGTGAAAATTATCTACGATTGGTGCGGTCCGTTTCAGATTATACCCATCTTCGAAAAGCCGACAGGTCGACCGTTGTGTCAGCTGTGAACGTCGGTCTAAGTTGCGCCACCGTTTCTCGCCTCTGAGACCGGGCTGAGGATGGTCAGCACGTATTGCAGAACCTTGACTAGTTCCTGCTCCTGTTTAGAAGCGTCAACGCTCACCAGCGTAAATCTACCGAGAGCCTCCCGTATGCTCTGCGAGAAGCCGGCACTGCGCGCGATGAGCTTGCCCTTCTGGTTGTTGCTGATCAGGGACCACAACATAGAGCCGGCCAGGTTCACCTCGCAAGGTGAGCCGTTCTTGAAAATGTCGTGTAGCAGATTGATGAAGTCCACTGAGGAAAACAACGGCGGAGTAGCGCACAGGCCGGTGAGGCTTGCCGTTACGACATTGCTCACGTTATTGCATCTTGCCAATTGCACGGCGGTTTACTCACCTGAACTAAGAAGTCGAGGTCTGTTCGTCATGTTGAACGACAGGTTACGCAATATCGATATCGCGAGGACTTTGCTCGACGACGAGGAACACTTCGCCAAGTTGATCAATACGTCCAAGGCGTCGACAGCCTGAAATATATATCGCTACGTGTTTATTAACTATTAATTTATTAAGAATTTAACGAGCGCATACTTTACCTTCGGCACGCACAACTGTCCCTCCTCGTAGTAAGTGAAATCTATTAAGAACTCCAGGCAGTACATCTCCACCAACGGCCACGGTTTCGCTCTCTTGGTCATAGTAGGGTGTATCTTGGTGAAGAATTGAAGGAGATTGCTCTGTGTGTAGTCATGGCTAATTAATAACCGACTAATGTATATGCATATGAGTAATTAATTGATCAATATATAACGCGTATGACTAACTTAATAACTGGGAACATCGCGTGCGACCGCACGAGGCTTCATGCTCCCAAGCTTCTGTCCGTGCTCGGGTCTTCTCTGACCCGAGTGTCCTTAAAAAATTCTAAACACGATCAACACCACTTGTTGCATCTCGTGGTGCCCATTCTTGCATGTGACAGATACATTGTTATAAATACATATTGTGACAAATGTATATTATTCATTAAAAGGTGCTCGATTCATCAAAAGTCGCAGGATTTTGCCTTCCTGTCGACTACACTGTAACATCGCGAGAATTTTTTAAGAACGCTCACATGCGAAGAATGCAACGTTTATAAGTAGAAAACGTTCATAAGATTAAGCGCATCACTCTATATAACGACGAAACCGGATAATAACATGAAAAGCGGATAATAATCACCTTTGAGATGCAAATCCTGCACTCGTGCACGTGAACGGCGTTTCGCAAGACGTGGAAGGCGAAGTGCATCTTGTGATTATCGAAAAACTGTCCGGCTTTCTCGATTTCTTTGCAAGTCACTTGTATGATAACGTGTATCAAGGCCAGCGTGTTTGGCGTTCTCCTGAGTCCGCTTCCCGGCAAGATCGTCGTTAACGTTAAAGACTGCGCGGCTGCAAACAAGAACGCACAGAGATACAGAGATCGAGTTTGCGTCAACGGAATGAGAAGTCGTGTCTGTCTCAACGCTGGTGGCGATGATCGGCCCTCACCAAGAGTGCATCTGGTCGTGAACGTCGCCAGCAGCTTCAAGGCGGACGTCGACACCGTCTTGTTCAGCGCTATCCAGGCCCACAGCTTGTGCACCACGTCCGCCAACCCCTCCTTCGTCAGACTCTCCTTCACACTCACGTCGCCGTACATGAAGTTCATGAGAAGCATGAAGATGCACTTCATATCGTGCAAGAGAGGATGAGTCTGCCGGGACAAGAAAGGATGCATTTTTTGCCATGATAATAGCGCAAGGAAACCGCGAGGGAAATTCCGCGAGCGTACAATGCGAGACATGGCAATCGGCGCGGGAAAACCCTCGCTTCTCTCTCTCTCTCTCTCTCTTTCTCATACCTTCCTTTCCGCTTGCTTCTTATAGAGTTCGAATGGTTGAAGATTTAGCTTGACATACTGCTCCTTCAGGATCATCAGCGCGGTCTCGGGCAGATTGCCTCGCAGAGCCGTGCGTTTCGCCTCCTTCGACACGCACAGCAGATTCGTCAAGGCGCCCACGACGAGATCCTTGTCCTCCGATTGCTTGCAGCTCTTCTTCGACTTGGTGTAGCTGTGCGCGATGAAGAGGTGCAGCAAGAGCTCGCACAATTCGCCACCTATCGTGGTCTGCTCTTGCGGGCTCGCTGCAGCCTTGTCGTCCGTCGGACGCGACGTCCGCCGGACACGCGAGTCTTTCTCATTCTCGTTCAGCTTTCTCGAGTGCGCGTTCGCGTCCCTGATCGACAATTTGTTTACGCTCGATATGACGTCCCGTAGGATGCCGTCGTTCTCGTCGGCGGCGACGCACCTCGCGCTGGTGTCGATTACCGTCTGCAGGGAGACGCTGCTTCGTCCCAGGGAGTCCTTCTGGATCTCTTGCGACAGCAGAAAGGCCAAGCAGCTGATGGCACTCATTCGGAGATCCGTCGTGGAGTCCTTTATCGCGAAGCAAATGGAAGCCATCACCGTCTCCGCGCCGCACAACTCCAAGGCGCCTTGGATCGCCTCAAAGTGCTGGTCCTCCGTTAGCGAGAGCACGGCTATGAAATTGTAGATCTCGGTCCACAGCCGGTTGCGCAGGTGGATCAGACGCGGTTCGGTCGATTCTGCGTAGATCGAGGTGCGAATTAAAAGAGTCGAAGGAAGAGATGCGCGCGATCCGCTGGCTTGTTTGATAAGCAACCTCGGATCTTCCTGGTTCTCGAGCTGGTAACGATTATATTTTCCTACCATTGTAATTTTATGAAACGGATCAGATATCAGTGTACAGTATTTTGTGAAATTACAAGTTGTCATGAGATAAAAGTACAATCGTTTGTCGCACATTTCGTCCGAAAGATCCGAAATCACCGATTGCAACAAGCCAAGGCTGACTCATTGAGAGGATGTTCGTATCGAGCTCGCTCGCTACGACACGTACGATACAGATCGACGTCCAAGAGAGAAAGCAAAGTGTAGAGCGAGTCCGCGGAGAAAAGGACCACGGCCGTGTATTGGTTGCTGTGAGTGATGCAGTTGGTTAGAACTGTGCAGATGTTGGTGTACATCTCCAACGTGTCGGAGTAGTGGCTCAAGCTCCTCCTACTACCGGCGTCTTTCGGAATCTCAGCCAGACACCTGCGACGAGACCGAGTAGCGTGGAATATATTACAAGTGAAATAATGTTATCCATGTCGTCAGAGATGTTAAATCAATATCACAGATTGCGTGATGAGAGCCGCATCAATAATACGCGGTGTAATAATCGAAGAGAAATAAACGTACCCGAACAAATACTTATCGATGGATTGCTCGTAAATCTGCGCCACTACCTCGTGCTGTCCGATAAATATCAGATTGTTCAACAAGGCGCAAGTGGTGGCAATAAGCGAGGGCGTCGCAATTAACTGCACGCAAGCGTCCATCACGTCGGTCGCCTCCGAGTCCCGGACAGAAACTGAAAAAGAACAACCGTCGTGAGTCGCGGTTGCGAGGATGCATAAATTTTGGAGTGACGACTGACGCTGCTCTTTTCGCACAAGGTGCAACAAGGTGATGTAATTACATGGCTGCAATTCACCCTGGCAGTTGTACAAGTGTGACACGATGCGCGGCACCAGCGAGATGCAGCCAGATTGCACACTCCGCACGGAGGTCGCCTTGCCGTCGTTCCCTTGGTACTCCGACTGCTCGTCATCCAGCGTGGTCGACGTATAGATGTTGGCGCAGAGAACGCTGATCTCGTGATAAGTGTTGCATTGCTCCACGTATATCAGGATGGCCTGCGGTTGCAGGGAGTCCTCCTGCGCGTGAACAGATCACACCCTTTGACACACTCGATATCGAAGTCGCACATGTGTGACGCAGCGATCTCTCACCCGCGGTGTCACACACGCGTTCGGCTGCGTTCAGCAGGGAGAGAAGCTTAGCGGGAGAGCTTTGCGCTCCGTTGCTGGCTTGTGTCGTCGGACGACACTTGGTGTTTTACGTTTTACCAACATGTTCGTTACTAGACGACGTTCTGTTGCTTACGCATTGAAAGGCCACCGAGTTCTTCAGCATGTTGCAGAACGCGATACACGCTTGTTCCCTCACTAAGCAGGATTCCTCGCGGTTCGTAATATACTGGAGCAACGTGTGGCACAGGTCGCTCGGTGCCATCGCGATCGCGTTGAGCAGCTGCGACGCGGTGTGCAATGTACTCATCAGGCCCGCTAGTAACTGCAAGGCTGAAGCGCGGACCAGAGGATCCCGGTTTTGCCATAACATGGGTAACCAGCTCAGCGATCGGCCTTCCTCGTACCAAAACACTATCAACGACTGCAATTTGAAATTTGCTTCAAAGACAATTGCTGACTATAAATATGTAATCTTATAATCGAATAATATTATTAAGATTATGTTGTATCAAGTAATATCAACAGGTAAATATTATAAGTTTATGCTAAAAATAAATCATCTTTTTCTACTTATAATAATAACACACGCAAGGTAGTGATTTGTAAAGTGTAAATTTTTTCAAGAGTGACATAGAAAGAGTGAAATTTTTCATTACTCAGAAAGTTATACGAGAACCGCCACCGAGAACGCTTCATCAAATTGAAAGTACTCACGTTCTTATTAAAATTCACTTGCATCTGATGTAACGAGTGGTTGAGGCATATTATCGAGTTCCTCGTTATCGATAAGCCCATGAAACTAACCGTACCGGCACCATGAAAGGATATGATTAGTTCGATGAGCGTATTGCAAAGAGATACTAATAAGTTCCTGTGGCCTTTCCACTCGCACTGTCCGATCAAATACGTCAAACATGTTAGCAACCAATCAAGATAAGCTATAATGAGGAGAGGAAGAAAAGAAAAGAGAAAGGATAAAATTCTGATGCACAATCAAACGTATGAGACGAAGACTTATGTGTTACCAGCGTCCGATTACAACAGACTCAAGTGAATTCAAAGAGCGAATACCAACCGAGATTGTAGAAATGCTGCTGATCCCCGAAACATAATGTCGAGACAACAAACTCCACGAATCGAATCCATGTAGTCTTGGGTTTGTCGTTGGATTTCTCCATCCTCTCGATCGCCGAGCATGTACGTACTAACTTGAGTATAGACTGATGTACGTCTTGATTGTCGATTTCCAAATTCTTAAACAAGTCCGCCAATGATCTCGTCATGTTTTTCATGATCTTGCTGATCCACGAGCTTTTCCCTGTGAACATTGGGAGAGGATTCGACATCGTTTTAGCATGATGCTTACGGGAGAATCGTCCCGTCTGGATCCCGGGATCCCATCTTACCACTTTTTGCGACATTTAGGTACAACTGTAAGAAAATTAGAACGTCTACGAACAAATCGCAATCCTCTTTGCTCGTGGGATGCGACGCTAGGAATCGCTCGAACGTTTGCTCCCACGGCAACGAGTCGATGTCTTTCTCATCATCACGCGCGACCGCTTTATAAAATCTCAGGTACCTGGAAAAAGTCGATGACAGAAGAACTGGTTCAGGCAGTTTCGATCCGACAAAGCTGGCTAAATCAAAGCTAATAGCAGCAGTAACGTTCGTCATTAACGATAATTATAATAATAATAGCTTACATTGTGAGGTAATCCAGCGCACACACAACGCTGTAGTGCGTAGTGGAATTTTGAATGTTGTAGAGTTGCTGTTGACAACAGTATTGAGGGAAACTGTATCGCAGGGAGAGGAGATCACTTTCAAGGATCATCAGTTTTTGTGCAATTCCGGGGTCGTTCAAGTCCTCGAAACATTTCCACAGCATGTTTATGCCGTCGTTCCACTCCCACGTCCAATATTGTCGGATGAACGTTAAGACTGTAGGATTGCTATTGTGAAGTACTATGAAGTGAAACGAACAGAGAATGTTACGTTTTGTTACATTGCACAAATTCGACAGCACAGTTTGCACATATATACACACACATATGATACCTGCAATTAAAATACTACTTACACGACACGTTAGATCGCCTATGTATACTCGTCTTCCAATGAGATCTGCAAGTGAACGGCAGTTTCATGTTCGTGAGAACAATATGGGGTAGCGAAATGTGTGAAGTAACGCTATTCTCCACATCCTTCTCATGGACTTTTACGACGTATTCGCTGTATAAAAGTAGGCACAGTAATTGCGCACCGTCAGATTTCACGCATTCGTTATTTGGGAACAGGAAGAGGCCTGAAATACAGTGAGTTGTTGGCATAAAGTTTACGAACGATCGAAACAATGAGGTGAGATAAAAACACATCACGGGAGAGAAAAAAATACGGTGGAGTATACATACTTCTTATAATATTGAAGAAAGTGTCAATGTGAATAGACAATTCATATCGTATTGAACACTCGAAAAACGCGAGTTGTTTTAATATGCTGATTATCGGTATCACAGAATCTGGATAATTCACGTAATCCTTCTCCACCTGAAAATTATATGTTTCGAGATTAAATGAGAAATGTCTTAAAAAAAAAAAAAAAAAAAATCGCTCTTTCCATCTCTTTCTCTTTTATTGTCTTTTTATTTATTCTTTTTCAAATAAAAACCTTACCAGTGCTCTATTGAAAATGTCCAATATTAAGGGCAGTCCATTTTGATTTATGAACAATTTGTGCAACGATATGTCGGAAAGCATTACACTAATTTGTACCAATGCGGATCTGCGTATTTTTGGATCTACGTTTGGCTCGTTCAGCATTTCCAGCACTGATAACATATTGCTCCTCTGCAAATAAAATGCTTTGGTAATAAAATCTTTACTGATACACATAAATCTCTAGAGAAAAAAAAGAATGAAAATAAAACAGATAAAAATATAGAAGATATAAATAAAATATTTTGAAATTAAACGAAAAGTTACATGTACACATGTCATACATGAGATTTTTAAATATTCTGAATGTAAACATGTAACCTGATAATTGCCTTCTGATCGCCTAATGAAATTTTTACGTTCGAATATGCAAAGCGAGTTGAGAGGCAAGCCATGTAAAGATGACAAACGCGGCAGTTTTTGGACAGAGTCCTTCTCCTTTCCAAGGAACCAGATTAAGCGACATAACGCTTCCTCGCGGATGTCGCTGTCTGACGCATAGAGAAATCTTAGATTGCCCTTTAACACCTAAAATTGAGAGACTTTATATGACAAGAGCTAAACATAAAAGAAAAATATATAATTAAGCGTGTCAAATTACCTCGATAAATGGCAACTGTATTTCGTTGGAAATATCGGGATCGAACATTTTGGTCACACACTGACCTAAAGGTATGAGCGTGTCAGCGTGACATTGCAAAAGATGCAGCACAGGAACGAGAACTTCTAGAGTCTTCAGCCATCCAGTTTCGCCCATCTGCATTTTTCCCTTCAGCACAAGTACCAGCATGTCTCTCGACATCTCGTTTATCTGAATACGAAATCAGGTCGATCAAATTTCTAAATCGAATTTTCCAGCCGAACTTTTTTTAGGTGTACTAATATATATTTTGTAATATAATATACTAATGTATATTTTGTTCGGGTGAATCTTGTCGAAGTTGTCTGGATATATCAATAAATGAAGTTGATATTTCGCTTCAGAGAGGCGATCATAAATCTTTTCTTCTAACGTGAACTCGTAAAAAGTGAATATTTCCAAACGCTTCCGAATTAGAATATTTTCACTTCCCGTGAGATTCACGCTTTCAGGAAAAGGTCCCAAACTGACCAGGAATGTTTGTATTTAAACATTTTCGTTACCCTGCTATCTTCGCTCGTTGCGCCATGAGAAATAATTTCCGTCAAGACGTTCGGTTCGAGCAAGAATGTCAGATTCTCCCAAGACAGTTTCTCTCTGCTGTATTCAACTCCCAGAATACTCTCGACCAGAGCGTGGCATTCGACGTAAGTTGCGTGTTGAATGTCCAAGTCCGCGTTCGCCAGCAAGTATAGTATCAACTTTGTCGCTAACGTGCAGTCTTCGTCGCTTAAGCAATATCTCGGGAGATCTCGTAAAAACTTTATAGTCATCTTGACGACGGATAAATTTTTATGGTAAGGTAAACTCAATTTAGACGTGTATAGTGTTTTTAATGTTTCCACAGGCGACTGCTCCGACGATCCTTTTAACAAAGAGATGGACGCCTGCATGGACTTTGTAACGATTTTAGTTTCATCAAACAGTTTGACCGACGCCAGCTCATTGGCACCTTGAAATTGCTGCAATCGAAAGAAATTTTCTTTACGTAGATTGTGATTCGCGTTGCATAAATGACAAGCGAAATCGAGAGAACGAATAAGTCTGAATCACTCACACGGGCGTATTCTAGAAACATAGAGTGCAACGCTGGATGCAACAGATACATCGGTGCGTCCATTATGGCATTCATTATAGACGTTTTTAAAGCAGCCGGTATAACAGCGTCTGCCAACTCCAACGGCACAATGCTACTTAGCAACCTTATGGTAACAGCGGCAAGATGCATGTATGTGATTCTCAAGTGATCCACGTTACTGCAGCTTGCGAAATATTCCATCAGTTCGCCCATTAAATGAAGCAACGCTCTCAAATCGTCGTTTATCTTTAAGACCATGCCGTCGTTCCAAAGCCAGATATTCGGCATCACGCAAATGATCAACAACTGTATTAATTCGTGAGTCAGGTCCATGATGTACTTGACGTTTTGCAGGGGCAGGTTGGGGTCGACAGGTACGCTTAACTGCGACAGAACGAGTTTCAGGGACTCCACGCAATAAGCAGGCAGCAGCATCTGCTGCAACTGCAACACGGAGTCGTCGACGTTCTCGCTGATACTCGGACTCCTGTCGCTGGTCCCCTGAAACAAATAACATCGTGAAAAAGCACGAAGAATAGAAAACCCGATGAAATGGCTCAGAATTGACTCACTGCTGATTGATACGCTTGGTAGTTAGCTTCAGGTACACCACCGTCTGGACCATCTCCGGCTTCCGAAGACACGTAGACATTGTTATCGAGTTTACTGGCCAATAACTGTGTAAAAGTTAACGAAAATTATGAGATAGAGGTAGGCGAGGAAAGTGAGTAAGAATCTTCAAGGAGAGCTGCTGTTACTTTAACTTACTTAATTACTCGACTATTGCTTAGTTACTTTAGTACTTTAGTAGTTTACTTGCCACTAAATATTAACACTTTCATTTACCTTTTGCTTCTTATTTGCTATACAAGGTTCACAATAGTAGTAAATGCGAAATCTCAAAGACCGAGTTAGTTTGCGCAAAGTCTTTAATACAGTTGGAACGACGCACATGATTTTGATTTCTGATACACTGATGTTTGATTTAAGAAGACCGTGAAGTGTCTGTAATATTATTTCAAATATATATTGTCAAATATATATTGTCAAATATATTTTATCAACATATTGCGTAGAGTGTCAAAGTGATCAGAATGAAACATTTACCGTGATTATAGCTGGCCTTTGTAGAAAAACTTCCGCTGGAAAATCTTGCATCATTACATTTGTTATAAATTGACACGTGTGTAATATGAGATTAGTATCAACATTGTTATTAAGAGCTTCTTCGACAGCAGTAAGCACTCCTTTGTCCGATGTAACCAGTGGCTGCCATGGCATCACTAGCCATTTAATGCCACCTTCAGTTGCCTTGGAAATTCGTGTATCACTTTCATGTTCCAGTGTTGTATCGAATGGTATTGTACTATGTACAAATGATGCACATATATCAATTTTGTATATGATATATTATTAAAGTGGACAAAGAAACAAAATATATAAAATATTTATATTTGTTGTAACATACTTACTTATCCAAAATAGATGGTAGATGATGAGCGCCAGAAAATTCTTCATAATCTTCTCTCCCATAATTTTTATTCTTATTTTTACCATGATATTGTATTTGTGACTTGTATCTGTCACATTCCAAAGATGCTGCGTCTGTGGTAAAATCCTAGAATATAATTCTAATTATCTCCTCATTATCTTCTCATAATATATGCAAAAAGTAATGGCAATATACAAATATTTATATACCTTGATGTGTGTATTTAATTCATCTCTTTTGTATTTTCCTGAATGAAGAACAGCTTCTTCAATCTTGTTCAGTTTCAAATGCCATTCAGAGGGGAGCTTCCTTCTTAATTCATGAAGCTCGTTTTGGAATTTCAGTTTACCAAATGCATTTAAGTAACTTTTAGTATCTGCCTGAAAAAAGAAATTAACACATCAGTAAAAATATTAACAGTTCTAAGATATAGGTATGATGTTTGATGCGGAAAATAATGGGCAAAATATTCATTAATAATTAACAAAACATACATCAAATTGTCATCGAATAAAATATTGTCTCGAAATTTGTATTAGTGAGAATGAGACAGTTCACAAATACCTTCACCAACTTCAATAATAAATCCAGCACTTTCTCTGGTTGTGGTGCAATCTCAAAGGAGAACCAGTTGAACAGCCTCAAAATAATTTCCTTTTTGACAGCATCGCAATCACATCCGAAACCAAGATCATATTTCGAAATAATATTGTCCAAAGCACGCAGTCGTATCTCATCGATAGTATGGCCTAAAAATAATATATATGTGAGGAAATGACTACTGCAACAGCATTAATTAATTAATACCGTTAATAAGTAATAAATTACTTTTTCTTACTCACCCAATTTTTCAACGTGTACAGATGTTATTCCAGCGGTGCTCAGCATTGTAAACAATTATACATCCGCACAGTTACCGCAGGTTAATTGACAGATGGCTTTGAATATTTAACCGCCAAATTCAGACACAGCGCCATTTTAAAACTCTCTCTACGAAGGCACTAATGAGAAAAAAATAAAGCTCATTTTACATGAGTTGTACGACAGGCTTATCAGACGTTCCGATTGGCTGTCAGATAGAGAATTTCTAGGGTGTCTAAAGAAAAAGTTAGGCACGTGAGACGAGATTTAAAATATTAGACGGTCTTTATTAATATCTCGTCAGTGGTCATGTACTATTTCTATTTACAAATTTGGCTTTAGCCATTAATTTTGCAATATTAGATACAGAAATAGATAGATTTTTTATTACTTATTATCTTGATAATTAATCAGCTGATCAATTACAGAACATATCTAAATTATATATATCTAAATTAGTTTAAGGTCTACCAATCTTATAATTTAAGCCAAAGTTTTTAAAATCAATTTCAGAACAAGCACCAATTTATTGTACCAGTGTGATCCAATTTTTGAAACTTCTTCGAAAAAAAAAACAAACTTTAAACTGCAAGAAATAACGGGTTCATAGAAAATTATACTTGTTATTTTTGAGGAGCAAAATGTCCTCTGTCGTCATCTAGCGGTGTCGAGAAACTCGTTCCGGTAAAAAGGTGTCCTAACTAAAAAGGTTCGAGTCTTGGCTGAACACCTCTAATAATTCTCTCGTCCCTTTACCCGTAATTAGACCCGTAATTTTTATTAGTTCCTACGTTTCCGCTACGAGCCGCCACCATTTCTATTATGAAATCGAGGTCGTAATACAATTCGACGAATCAGACACACATCTTCATTTTTTCAAGTACTACGATTCAATTGTTTAGTAGCACTTTTAACTTACACGAAACATAGATAAAATTCAACAAACTGTAACTTCGACAAAAATGACGCTGTTGGGATGCTTCGAAAAGCATTTCAAAGCTTGAGACTTCTAGCTTCGAGCGTGTTAATGTTATAATAAATGGAAAATGGAGTGATCGTTACATTTTCAAACCTTATTGTCCGGTAAAATCCTTACATTGAAGATGTATTTTTATAAAAAAATAAGAAATAACGAGAACAAGCGAATGTTAAGAGATATAAATTTTAAGCCTTTTATTTGTTGTGTAATGGACGTTTTACACCGATTTGTTCGTCGCTTTTGAGTCGTGAGATAAAAACCGGAAGGAGATCTTCACTTCAACATTAAATACCCTGGTGAGAAAAAATCGCAGCGTAATCAACGAGTATGCAAATTAGGAGGGAATGTTCTCACTTACAGGCCCTACAAACGTCGTTTTATGACGATTTACACACAACTCTTCTTTTACACGACACATCTTCCCACATCGATAAACTTCGTCAAAGAGATTTCAGCATTTGACGGATTTCGAATTACGTTCGTGCAGCGCAGTGCGAGAGAAGCAAATAAATGTTAAATTCATCAAAATATCCGGAAACCAGAGACATCAACCTGTGAAATGCCCCTCGAAGCGCTTCGTTATCCTTCTTTTTGCGGATGTTACAGCGCGCTGAGTTTTGCGTATTTTTTGCGACCGGCGAAAGCAGCACGAAAATTAAGCAGCGAAAACACTCGTGCGCGCGCACCGTATTTTAATGCAAAGTCCAGATGAATATTTAGCGATCGTTGCATAGTCGTGGAACGCTAAGGAATGGCATGAGGACACGTCGAAGAAAGGACGATGAGGAGGGGGACGACGCAGGTACACACTCGACAGTCACAACGGCGACGAGGATTTTCCAAGGTCCGTTTAATCATCTTACGAAATTACAAGGATAATAATTCGAAGCACATGCTTTTTCGCTAACGAGGTACGTGTAGGTGTAAGGTATTACAATCGGAGTAATTTTACGACACTGAATTACGTAATTATCGCAAACATCATTTAACTGCATATAAACATACAAAAGATTTAAGATTAATAATCGAGTCGTTGGTAATTCGCTTCCTTTAGCCTATCGCCTTTTTTAGCACCACGATCGACTGCTTGCGAATCGTCGCCGCTTCGACGCCTGCCTGCCTTTCGGTATACCGGGTGTGTCGTTGAGAAACTCGAAGCTCTGTCGCAGCCGAACGAAAAGCGATTCGTCGCCCGGCGAAATTTCGAAAGAATGGCGCACGCAATCTTCCGGATATCCTCTTGTCCTTCCCATCCGCGCGCGTCGCCAAATTAAACCTCTATAACGCCACGTAATTTTCAAGTCCAACCGATCTATCGATATTTTTATTAAATGAGATATAATGTTATATATATATATATATGTTATATATATATATATATAACATTATATCCCATTATAACTCCAAAGTTACAAGCCATTTTTTTTAGAAAGAAATCTTTTCGAAATTTGTACAATTAATTGTTAAATTATATGTGCAAGTTAATATCTGCTGCTTTCACGTTGCACAATTTCTCAACAAACTCGCAAGTTAATCATCAACTTATACCCGGAGATTGGTATTTGCTGCTCCTTCACGTCACATACATTTTTTATACTCGCGAGAAAAGATCAAGAAGTTACGGAGGGGCGACGCGCGCGCAGCGCGGATCGTCCGCCGCGGCGCTGTCGTCGCCGGGATTATCGATAATGTCGGCGCTCTCCGATTACTCGTCCGCGGCCGTTCTCGAGACGAGCGAACGAAAAGACATCGCCGGGCCCGCCGGCTCTCGCTCGTCAAGAGCGTCGTCATGTAAAGACGCACGCGCTCGCTCGTTTCTACCCGCTAATGAGAAAAGCGAGAAGGAAAGGAGGGATTTACGCGATTTACGACAGCTTCGCGACGACGAGTGCGCCGGTAATGAGTCGTCAATGGGACGATCGCGGCGCGGCGCGGCGCGCTGTTCGCACGCTCCTCACGTAATCATGCAATTATTACATAACTGCGCGCGCGAACCGTGAGCGGCCGTAATGTCGCCATCTTTTTATTATCTGAAATTATCCGCCAGCGAACGAGCGAGAGATTCTCTGCCCGCCTTATACCGCGCTATTACACCCACCTACGACGTGCGATGGACACAGATCGTGCTTTTCTCTTTCTCCTTTTTCTTTTTCCTTTTTCTCTCGCCGGTACCGCCGGAGAGGACGATCGAGCGCGCGCGCGCGCGCATGCGCGGGTGTCGATCGCGCGGCGTGTAACTCCGCGGTGTACAGTGTATTTTTTTAGTGATGCACGTCTGCATCATGTTATCAGAAATCGATCACATCTCTTTCTGACGACGCTTCCCGACGACGTTAACGGATAACATATATGTATCTCGATGTTGGTTCTCTCGTTCTCGATTCGACTCGACAGAGCTCTCCCTCCCTCTCTACGTTACCATGTAATCTTCGACGTAACGAGAATTCGCCTCGTCTTCTTCTCGCACGATCGCGCATGCTCGAAGCGTGTCTCGCTCGCACGGAGAGCTCCAGTTTGCGATCCAGGTTGCTCCAGGTCGATTTTTATTACGCATGAGAATTATTGCTTTTAGTTGCTCGACGTGGTTGCTTTGGTCGCGCGCAACGAACGCAATTCGTCAATTACCTCAGTCCTCTCTCTCTCTCTCTCTCTCTCTCACACACACACTCTTTCTCTCTCTTCCGCCCATTGCTTTTAGACTCCAGCTTTTCGGGACGTCCCGCGTCCGAAGACGAGCCCGACGCGACTGCCGCCGTGTCTACTAACCTCGTTAAAATGTCTTGTTTCTTTCTTTTCTTCTTCGGAAAACTCTACCGCTCGGTCTTCGTTTCTCAGCGAATCGTTCGGCGATCCAATCGAAAGAAGAAAAAGAAAGCGGGAGGAAGGATCCGGCGGACGGATCCGTGCGGGAAATACGATTTGACTTGGCGCTTACGAGAATCCGGATATTCTCCTTCCGGATATTCGAGGATACACCTAGTTCGCTTCGCTTTGCTTCTCGCAGGCGTTATTCGCTCGTTGCAAAATTTCCCAGCGACCTTCGTGCGGCTAAAGGTGTCGTCGCGTGTCCGTCCGCGTGTCGGAGTCCTGAAATCCGATCGACGAAACAAAATCCCCGCGCGATCCTCATTTGTATCTTTTCTCCCTTCGCCTCTCTCTCCCTCTCTCTCTTTCTCTCTGCTTTCTCTTTCCGATTTAAGGGAGAAGCGACACCAAGGATCACGCTTCGGTCGCTGGATGCACTACGTGTTGAAAGTAACGGGCTGGACGTCAACCGTCGTATCGGTCGAGAAAATGTCTCATTTCAGCGTTCTAATAACGCGTCCGTCCGCGATTTACACTACGTGCATAGAAACGTGGGATAGAAGCGTGTAAGTTCGTGTCTGTGTGTGTGTGTGTGTGTGTGTATCTGTGTGAGCGAACTGTGTGCACACATACGTGGTTAAGCTACGAGCTCTTTGATCCCTTTAACCCCTTCCGAACGACAATGAGTGTATTAAATACATCGCGACTTTCGGTATAAGCGAGGAGCTCCTTCATCGATCTCCGATATCAAAAGGAATGTAAAGGATGTAAATTATGCAAATTACAACAATTCGCTTACCTATTTAACACTATGTTTACAATCTTAAGGATTCTCTCTCTCTCTCTCTCTCTCTCTCTCTCTCTCTCTCTCTCTCACTTTTTCTTTCCCTCATAACACCCGTGTATAAATATTCTAGAATAAAACAACGCTCTCTCTCTCTCTCTTTCTCTCTCTACGTTAGAATTCTCCGTCACGTGCGATTCGATTATTTTACAACACGGCTTTATCACTCCGATCGCTCATTAACCGTATTACTCGCGATTATCTCACGTACGCGTGCACTTGTTTGAGCTACCGAGCCGAAGGACGCGTCTCTCACACGAGGAGAGTCGCGAGCAGCGAGAGAAAGAGAGGGGGAGAGAGAGAGAGGTCTCCTCTTGCCGGCGCGTCCCGCGCAAAAAAGATGCACCGATACCGCGGCGGACACGTGCGTGTCGCACCGACGTCTTTCAATCACACACACGTGTGCATAATTGCCCGATGATCGCGCGATGTCGAAGTAATCGCGAGCAGAAGGGAAGTTAATTCGACGGCCGGCGGCGCGAAATCTC